GGAGGTAACATCATAGGAAGGAAGGATGGAGAGGAGAAAAGAGGGGAGGGACCTAAGGAGAGGAGGATAGGGTTGAAGGGGAGTGTGTAGGGAGGGCTGGGGGGGGATCTAAGCAAGAGGATTTGATAACGGATTTTGTGGGGGAAGTTGGGATGCAGATTAGAAGATCTGAATGTGCTGAAAGATGGTCTGCAAAAGAGGAAGAAGGAGGGAAGAGCAAAGAAGAGAAAATTGAGTGAAGTGGAAAGATTGAGAAGAGATGTGGAAGGAGACAGGAAGTTTGGGGCAAAACGAGGGGGGGGGGGAAGAAGGAGAGGGGAAAAGTGGTGGTGAAGGGTAGAAGGGAATTAAGAAAGAAGTGAGAATGAAGATACTAAGTCGGAATGTGAGGGGGTTAGGAAGTGTGAGGAAAAGAGCAATAATAAGAGAGGTAATAAAGAAGTTTGACCTAGACATAGTATTATTACAGGAATCCAAGAGAATGGAGTTTAATAATAGCTGGGCTCGGAGTGTATGGGAAGCCAAGGGGATCAGTTGGGTGGCTGCCCCATCTTGGGGTGCGTCAGGGGGGATAGTGACAATGTGGAAGAGGGATGTGGTTGAAGGTTTGGAGGAACTGACGAGAAGATACTCAGTTTCCATGAAGTTCAAACAACAGGAGGATGGATTTGTGTGGGTGCTTACAAATGTCTATGGGCCAAATGAGTACAGAGAGAAAGGATTTTTGGGAGGAATTGACTGATATAAGAGGGCTATGGGAGGGGTCATGGTGTGTGGGTGGAGACTTCAATGTGATCAGATACCCAGAGGAAACTAATAAGACCAATCACAGGGTGACAACGAGTATGAGGAAGTTTAATAGGTTTGTGGATGCCTTTGAGCTTAAGGAGATTTCGTTAGCCCAGAAGACATTTACTTGGTCAAATCTTTAAGATAGACCCATATGCTCTAAGTTGGATAGGTTCCTGTTTTTTGTGGATTGGGAAAAACACTACGAGAACTTGACATCTAGAGCTCTACCTAGGGTGACCTCATACCATTGGCCCATAGTGTTATGCAAGGAAGAGAGGAGTGGAGGACCCGCACCCTTTAGATTTGAAAACATGTGGTTACTCCATCTCGGGTTTACCAGTAGAGTAAGGGAGTGATGGAATGAGTGTAACCCCTTGGTGGAATGGGAGGGGATGAGATTTCATAAGAAACTACAATTCCTGAAAACAAAGATTAAGGAGTGGAATATTTTGGAGTTTGGGAGGATAGAAGAAAGAAAGAGAGATTTGATGGACCAACTTGGAACCCGGTGGTGGAAAGATTTGAAAAAAGACTTGTATCTTGGAAGAAGAATTATCTCTCTCTGGGTGGTAGGATTACATTGATCAAGGCCATGTTAGCAAACTTACCCATTTATTTTCTTTCAATGTTTAAGATTCTAGGGAAGGTTTCTAGTAGGTTGGAGAGGCTGATGAGAGATTTCCTTGGAAGCCGGGAGAGGAGAAGAGGGACCACAGGGTTAGTTGGAAGGTGGTGACCAGAAGTAAAAACTATGGGGGTTTGGGGCTTGGGAGCATTGGGATTAGGAATTCGGCCCTTCTGGGGAAATGGTTGTGGAGGTTCCCTCTGGAGCGGCAGAAGCTATGGGCTAGAATAGTTGCAAGCATACATGGGCTGGAGCAAGATGGATGGGATGCTGGAATCAGAGCAAGGACCACAAGCACTTCACCTTGGAAACATTCATGATTTGCTTCCAGTCTTCTCCCCTCATCTTAGGTATGATTTGAATTTAGGTAATGCCATAAAATTCTGGGAACATATTTGGGTGGGGAATGTTCCTCTTAAGGAACAGTTTCCTTCTTTGTATGCTCTATCCGAATTTAAAGATGAGCCAGTTTCTTCTTTCATCACCCCTTCCTCTTCTAGTTCGGGGTTTGGGTGGAACTTGGGTTTGAGGAGGGCTGTGAGGGACTCATACCTTGATTGTATTTTGAACCTCTTTGAACTTCTTGATAATGTTTTCTTGGACCCTTCTATGGTGGACTCTAGAATTTGGACCCCTACCCCCACGAGCTCTTTTTCTTGTGCTTCCTTCTTCAAAGTCCTTTGCCAGTCCACCAATCCTGCAACCTCCCCTTTCCTGGTTAGTGAGGTTTGGTGCAGACCGATTCCTCCTAGGGTTGGTAGTTTTTGTTGGGAAGCCTATTTGGAAAGATTCAATACTGGGGATTTTCTCCAAAAGAAGAGACTCGATACTTGTTTGTCACCTCATTGGTGTGTTCTTTGCAAAGTGGAGGGGGAGACTGGTTTTCACTTACTGGTGTCTTGCCAATTTGCAAAGTCAATTTGGGAGTGGGCTTGTTCTCTCTTTGGGTGTAGGTGGAACCCTCCATCAGACTTGCAGAGCCTTTTTTCCCCTTCCTTCTTCAGGTGGCACATGAAAAGGGGAAGGACTATGTGGAGAAGTATGAGGGCTGCAGTATGCTAGACATTATGGGAAGAAAGAAATTCTTGGATCTTCTCAGAAAATGAGAGGGGCTGAAGATGTGAAGGCTGTGATCCACATAAGGGTAGTACAGTAGCTGAAATCACTAGAGCTATTTATAGACTACATAGTGGAAGACATGCTGACAAAGTGGGGTGAGATTGCAAACTGCACTTAGATCAAACCAGTAATAAGGGTGTCTTGGACTCCCCCACCTGCTGGCTTCTTAAAGTTAAATTTTGATGGGAGTTGTAGGGGGAACCCGGGACAATCAGGGATTGGAGATGTTTTTAGGGATGAGAACGAGGTCATTTCTGCCCTGTTCTCTGAGGGATTCCCTTAGAGCTGAGATCTTGGCAGTTATGGAAGGAGTTCAGAAATCAGGAAACTCATAATTGAAGGGGACTCGGAGGTGGTGATAGGGTGGCTGATTAAAGACAATTGCGGTTTATGGAATTACAGAAATGAAAAGAGGAAATTCAGGTGGCTGGTGCGGGAGATGGAAATCAGGATGCGTTGGGTTAAGAGATCAGCTAACTCTTTGGCTGATGGATTAGCTAAACAAGGGATAGAAAGGGAAGCAATGGTTTGGGCTAAGCTGTAACTTAATTGTTTCTTTTGTTTCCTTGTTTCTCTCTTTGGAGGGTTTAAGTTGTACTCGGAAGATAAGAGTTTTTGTCTTCCTTGCTGTAAATAGTTTGATATTTCAATGAATTGAATGAATCTGTTATTGATCAAAAAAAAAAAAAAGGTGAAATACAGCTGGGTAAAGAGAACTGCTCACTCACTTGCTGATGGGCTAGCCAAGAAAGGGGTGAATAGGGGTTCCTTTTTTTGGGCTCATTTCTAAATTTGTATCCTTTGTTTTGTGCTGGTGGGGGAGTTAAGACAGTTTACCTCCCCCTATCTTGTAATTAAAGCTTCATAGTTTTAATAAAATTTGCCATTATTGATAAAAAAAAAGACCCTTAGCTGCTGGAATGGTCACCTTGTTCACATGTTCAGCAAACGATTTTCAGATTCTCTGACCAGTGTAAATTGGGCTAATTTGTACTGGTCCTACCCTCCTAAGGTAGGAAGTGGGATGTTGTAAGGTCCATGGGGGATTAAGCCAAATTGATAAAAAAGGGGATCAGTTCTCTTTGCTGCTGACCAAGAGTGCATGGGAACTCCAAAGCAAAAATTATCTGGAGTTGTGTTCCCTTTTCTGTTTTCTGGGAGGTGTAGAAGGAAAGAAATAAGGCCATGTTTAGTTTGAAGGAAAAGGTAGGGAAACCTTTACATTTGAGGATAAAATGAGAAGCAACGAAAAGTTAGGGGCTGTGATAAGCTCAAGGATTGTTGGCTGGGTTTTACTTATGCCAGAATTTGAAGGCCGTAGTAAAGAAAATTTTGCAGCTGATTTTTGGTATACTTTGAATTTTTATTCTGATGACAAGTTCTGCTGTTTTCTTTGATGGTATTCTTTTGTATGTGGTGGGGTGACCCCTTGTCACCTAAACATTGTAATTTTCTTTTCTATTGAATAAATTTTCTTCTCTATTGATCTTCAAAAATGGGGGATTAAGCCAAGGGGCTCAGCAAATCTTTTCTATGAATTAGTGTACTATACAATTGTGTTACATAATACATTTCATAAATAAATAAATCTGCACTGATGTGTTAAAATAATCATAAATCACTAAATGATAATTTCAATTGTTTCTTCTGGTTGTTCTCATGGTTCTTGTCTGTGAAGGGTCCTTGGGTCATGAGGTATAATTGTTCAGTTGGCTCCTGAGTGGCCTTTTCTGGGTWAAGTATCTATAGTTTGGCATAGAGTTTTGCTCTTGTGGGAAGTGTGATGCTGGTCCTTCCCTATGATGCATTTAGTCTTTTTGTTTTTAACACATTTTATTTCTGTAAAAAATGAGCATTTAACCTTTCCTATATACAAGTTGAATGGGCCCCCCAACCCCACCCCATTATGGCATGTTGTTCTCCAGGCTCGTAAAAAAGCAGTATGTGCTCCAGTTCCAGGAGGGTGCTCATGAAGGTCCAAGCAAATTCGTCCTATGGTTGGTTAATTAGAATGATGATCCCTATCATCTATGGCCTAATTTATATTTCCCTGCAGAACAGGATGGATCGCTATCATTTTATCAGAAGTTTATAAGTGGATCTCTAGCATAGTTTTTCAAGTGAATGCGTGTGAAATGTTACTATTTGAAAACTTGACATACTTCAAAGAAAGAGTAGCATGGTCACTGTTCATTACAAGTCTTGTACCTTTTTTTACCTATGCAAAAGGGGAGATGAAACAACATAAAAATATGGTTGCTTCCATCTGTTAACAGCTTATTTTCCACTTTCTTTTCTATGACAATGTTCCATTCATATGTATTGCTTTTGTAGTATGACAATTTTAACAGCTAAATATTCCTATGCTATTATACGTTAAACGAAACTACTTGATTTTGTCTTTCTTCAATGTTTTAGTTGTATAGATCCTCACAATGCTTGCCTTTGTTATTTGGTTGTTCAGATGGTACTCAGACATTGACGGTAGAAGAACCTAAAAATTCTAGTAGATATGTTTCCACTAGTGGTTATCATGTTCAAGGACATCAGGAAAGCATGAGCAGTGAGGAGCTTGATGAATCGGCACCTGATGGTTTCATGCCTCACATTCAACCTCATGATCATGGTGCAACTGTTGCCACTGACATGGGGGTTTCCAAATGGCAACTGAAAGGGAAACGGAATATTCGTAACTTGACCAAGAGGCAGATGGAGGTTATGGATGGAAAGAGTCCCAGTGGATCCATTCATGAAACATACTTTGAAGGCAAGGGAACAAATTTCAATCAGAGGACGTCAGGCCAGGGGCTTTATCATAGAAGAGAGGAGTTAAATTATGTCTATGATGAGGGTGACATGACAGAGAAGGATTCTGTGCGGTCCCAGATGGTTGGATTTGACCACAGAAGATACCCACTGACTTCAAAATTAGCTTCCAAAAAATGTGGCAGAATCAACACAGACATTGCAGATTCAGAGGAAGACTCAATTTGGGGGGGCAATGGGTTATGTCAGTCAGCTTTAAGAGGGTATTGGGAAGATCAAGGTGACTGCTATGATCCAGCATATGCTGGCCATCGTGTTGGCAACAGTATGGACTCGGTGTTGGTAGATGTAGATTTGAAGGTCCAAGCACAGGCCAGCTATCAAGGAGAGCATGTACCTTTGGTGTCTCTGATGAGCAGATTGAATGGGAAAGCAATTATAGGGCATCCAATCCAAATTGAAGCATTAGAAAATGGATCTTCCGATATTCTTCTTTCTACAAATGATGATTTTGGTGAAGAACCATTTGATAATGATGGAAGCACAGCTCTTCCACCAGTGTGGAGGACAGCCAGAAGAACAGCCATGCATCGTGTCCCACGCCCTCACCCTTCATCAGCATTGGAGGGTGATGAAGCTGCTGACATTCATCCACATTTAGATCTTGAAAGCAAGTCTATTTACAAGAAACCATACACAGGCCATTTAAATCATAAGTCAAAGTTGCTCAAAAAGAGCTTCTCTCATATTCGCCGGCCTCCAACAATTGAGAAGAAGTTCCAGAAAAAGCTATTGAAGAAAGTGAGCTTGTCTAGCCAAAAGACAAGAACCCTATCTTCAATTGCAACTGAGCAGAAACCAAATGGCAAGGGTGTGAATCCAAAATTCACTAGCAAGAGTAAGTTGGATGCATTGATCAAGCCAGATGAGACTGGACCAACAACAGTTACCTGCATCCCTGTGAAATTAGTATTCAGTAGGTTACTGGAAGCAGTTGGTAGGCCTCCATCCAGAGCAGCAAATCATGGGATTTTGATGAATGGCAATTCAGAAAGGAAAGCATCATAAACTCCAATTTAGATTGTTACTATTACATTGGGGGGATCAATAATCTTGTACTACCAAATCCCCAGAGTTCAACTCAACTTGTACACTAAAAAAGAGCAATTATCCAGTACAAATTTCTGAACTTCTTGGAAATGTTACTCTGCTCTTGGGGTGCCAATGGTGAGTCTCCCATTCTCTATTTGGTAATTTTACTTGTGCCAACACACTCATGAATATGGGTACGGCCTGTTCATGCTCCTATCAACATCCTCTACCCCATTTCTTCCTCTCAAGTTATGTAAATCTTGCTCTGGTGTAAACTTTATATATGTTTCTAGGTATGGGGAATCTTGGGGTCATAATTTCTTATGCAGGTGACCCTTTTGTATCCAGAACCCATGGAGCGAGGGTCGGAGCAATGTCAGCAGAGGTGGTCCGGAAGATCAATTTTTTTTTTTAAGTCTGGACCAGTGGACTAGTTTAATCATGTAAAGTAGTTACTGTAGCTTCTAGTATGTCAGTCATTTGATTAAAACAAAATACAGAACTCCCAGAAACAGTCATGTAACTCTTTGGAAAATTCGAATTTATATTTCTTTCTTTTGTGCAAGTAGGATGATTGCATATGCCTTGGTAGAGAATTGGCTTCGGTTTGGATGTTCGGATTCAAGTAGGTATTGGCCAAGATTTGCAATTGATAGTTTGATACCCGTACGTGTCCAGCTGTCTATATTCTGGATAGACGCTCAGGTCTTGGTGGAAACCATAAAGAGGGTACTTATTTCCAAAATTCTATGGGGAAACTACTATGCAAGCATGTTTCTGATGTACACAACTATTGTCGTGCACGAGCAGCAGTGTTTCTTTTTTATCCTTTTCTTTTTGTCTCTTTCCTAGCATAATTCCAAGCATTGTAGGAGTAGGACAAAGTTCCATGATAGCGTCAGTATCATGCTTTGACAAAATAGCTTCGCAGTTTTAGTTCATTAGGTGGTTCTAGCTTCTAGGCCCGTGAAAATGTTGGTAGTTGATTGTCTAGCCTCAATTGGAGTTGGCCCTCGGGGTCTAAATTCTAAAATGATCTATGGTTCTTTTTCGCCCCAAAAATCCATCAGTACCTGGCACCTGCTACTTATGGGGACTATGGAATTATCTATATTTCTAAATTCTAATTATCCTTTAGGCCTAAGCCATATTATATGAGGACCAAACTAGACTGGCGAATTGGAGATCGACTTGGATTGATAGTATTCCAGATATTCCGGATTAGTGATGTGATGCAAGTTCAAAATATCGACACACTATACACAAGGAGTATCGTATCGACATGGTACAAGGGGAACAACATGAGTATCTATGGCGGTGGTCCTAATTGCCATTAAAATTTATAATGGTGATCGTAACCGCTGTTAAAAGGTTTTTGACCGCCAACGCAGGTCGATGAATTGTTATTCAATATTTATCCAAGCTTTTTGATTTATAGGATCTTTCAAAGTATGCACCACTAACAAAATATCCAGTTACATCGGGAGTGAAACGCAACGTTTTAAAAAAAGACCTGGAAATGGAAGTATGAAACCGTTCTGACCACCAGTTTCTGGGTTAATGGTCTGATTGTCTGATTCAAATGGATAGCCCATTCTAACAAAAAAAAAAAAAAATTAAAAATAAAAAAATGACCAAAAACTATTCAACAGGTCAATAGATTGACTTTTTCAATGGTTTTGGCCAAGACCGGGTTTGGGGTAAAACAGAACTGGTTGCCTGAACGGTTCCCGGGCTGAACGGTCCAACTGTCTGGGTCAACCGCGGTTCAAAAACCATGGTGGAAGTAAATATAAAATTTTGCTATGAAATAAATAAATCATATTCTTAAATGCATAAATATTAGTATATTACAAATAATTTTAGTATATATAGAGAGATTATTTAGTTTAGATAGAAAAKGTTATAAACATAAAGCAAAATACAAAATAAAAGTTCAAAAACATAATATTTATATTAAATTTACTATAAAAAGAAATAAATTGTAACACATAAAAACTAAAAAATTATGCATGTACTTTGAGGCTTAGCCTCAAACCGCCTGCTTATATCTCGCCTCTTTGACACCCAACTACCTCACCTCCACCTTTAGCCTTTTAAAAATTAAAACCTTATTGCTAAGAAAGTAAATCCATGCAACAAAATCCAGAAACTTATAGAATTGTCCCTCAATATTAATCTAATCCATTTCCAATTTAGCCTGAGCCAAACGCTCTAAAGTTAAAAAAAAGGTGAATACATGCTAAAATGACTAGAACTCGACAAAAAAAATGTTTATGCGAGTTTACGTGCAGAACATCATAGTACAAAATAAATACACCAAATAACTAAAATTCATAAAATAAAACAAAGACTAAACTGCATAGATATACACCAGCAGGATGTCATAGCATTGGATGTTCTAAATGGAAAGTTTATATGATACATTACGATCATTCGTTCAGCCTATTGCTATATCTGGCCATAGTTGCAATTCCAACTTCTCAACTGCAAAATTTGCAAAAAGCAAGAAAAAATAAGTTACATTGCCCATTCCATGGATGTCAAAGAATGTCATTGAAGTACAGCTTTCAATGCTACAGGAAACAACATACCTTCCCAACAGTATCTTCAATAGTTGACAAGTCTTGTCTTTCCTTAAGGGATTCAATACGAGCTTTGATGAGGCGATTATGTTCCATAGCCTGATTCGCAACATGGTGATAATAGTAGTTAGAAATGGCAAAAATCATTTTTGAATTGAAGAGTAGCATGAGTCGCCTGTCCCATTGAGAAATAAAAAATCAAATCAATAAAGAAAGAAATGTGCTTTGGTTTTTGAATTTTAAATGGAGTGAGGGTTCTTTCACATAAATAAGGGGAAAAAAGAAAAAAAAACAAACAATTGGTTATGATTCTTCTGGCACTTTGTGATTGTTTAGTAAGTTTTTTTTTTTGAGAAAAGTTAAATTTTATTGAAGAAAGGAGAGGTATACAAGAGTGTGTACAAATACAAAAGAGGGGCGAGACCCCTGAGAATTACACAGGAGGGCAGGAATCACAGTACAGAGTCTCTAGAATAACTCCTAATTTTGCTAGACCATCTGCCATTACATTTAGTTCCCTTGGGATCCAGGTTAGAGAAACATTCAAAGGAGCCAGGAGGTCCCTTGCCTCTGATAGGAAGTGACTAAGTCTCCAAGGTCTAGTTTCCTGTTGTTCCAACCATCTTATAGGCTGAGTCACCTTCAATTGAGAAGCTTTGGATACCCAGTTTGCTGACTAGGTGAATCCCTGTTAGAGCTGCTAACACTTCTGCCTTTGTTGAGTCAGCTATCCCAATCGGACCACTATAAACCCAGCATGTGCGGGCCATTCTCATCTCTTAGAATTCCTCCAATGCCGGCAGCTCTGGGGTTACCATAAGCACTTCCATCAAAGCTGAGAGTCCAGATTCCTTCCCTTCTAACTAAAGGAGCTCTGGTAGAGAGTGGGGTAGGAGGGGAAGAAACCAGGAAGTTATATATGTTTCTGCTGAGACCATTGATACTAACTCCTGTAAACTCCTCTGAACTAGAGGCTCACAAGTTGCAGTAGTGGTTGATGTGGCCTTTAGATTTAGACCATTGATACTAACTCCTGTAAACTCCTCTGATCAGTTCACCTTTAGATTTAGACCTATTTTCAAACAGCCGATTGTTTCTTTCCTCCCAAAATCCCCAAAGAACAGTGTGCAGTTATCAACCAATAGGTCTACCTCTCTTGCTCAGACCTATTCCTTGCCACTGAGAAATCAGATCCTGCAGATGCTTAGGAGCCACCCAACTGAAGCCGACCAACTGAAGAAAGAAGTTCCAGATGCTGCTAGTTACCTGGCAGAGTATGAAGAGGTGGTCTGTTGTCTCTCCTTCACATAAGAAACAAACTCTAGAGGGTATAACCTTGCACCAGATCTTCTTGTGAGGGAAATCACTGTCTCGAGTAATGTAAAGGAGTTCAGTTAGCTCACTGATCTCTGCCTCCGAAACCCTTAAGGGTCTTCTGAAGTTCAGGTTTAGGTTTCTTTCTTTGCTGGATATGGGAAGGCACTGGGAGATGGTTGCACCCTTATTTATAAAGGTTGTAGAGTCTGGGATACAGATCTGCCAATGTTGAGTTGCTCCACCACAAATCCGTCCAGAATTTTATTCTATTACCGTTACCTACCTTGTATCTAATGAAAGGAAAAAAGAGGTTGTGAATAGCAGAAATACCTTTCCATGGATTAGAGAGAGCTGATCAGTTTGATCGGAGATTGCAGTCCCAACCATTTGCATTTAACCCATACTTGCTGGTGATGATAGTTGTCCAGAGAGAATTTGATTCCGTGGGGAATCTCCACAGCCATTTTCCAAGAAGGGCATTGTTTTTCTCTTTTAAATGCCCGGTTCCTAATCCTCCAGCCTCTTTTGGTTTACAGACCTGATTCCAATTAACTAGATGCCCTTTCTTGACACCTCCACCTTCCCAAAGGAAATCTCTTTGGATTTTCTCGAYCTGTGATYTRATTCTTGCAGGGATCTGAAATACTGATAGGAAATAGACAGGCATGTTCGCATGGGAGGCCTTAATAAGAGTGATTCTACCCCCTTTTGATAGGTAGCAGCTTTTCCACCACAGGTTCCCAAAAGCTTGAATTTTTTGGGTTATCTCCTAGTGGCATGCCCAAATAAGAAAGGGGGAGATTTTCCACTCGACAATTCAGAGTTTCCTTGAAACTTTCCATCAAGGACCCTTCAATTTGGTTTATTGCTGCTAGGCTGCTCTTAGAGTAATTTACCTTCAGCCCCGATACTAGTTCAAAACACTGGAGAACTCTTTTCACATTTGAAATGTTCTCCAAATTGGCTTCTAGAAATAAGATGACATCATCAGCAAAGAGGAGGTGGGAAACATTTATGGCATCTCTTCCGACCTCAAAACCTTTGATCAAATTGAGGTTTTTAGCTTTCTCCATAAGCTGGCTGAAAACATCCATTACCATTGTAAAGAGGAACGGGGAGAGGGGGTATCCCTGCCGTAGACCCCTGCTGGCCTTAAAATAACCTTTAGGCTCTCCATTGATCATGACCGAGAACCAGGTAGAACTAATACAGCCTTTCATCCACTGCAGCCATTTTGAACCAAAGCCCTTCAAGTTTAGAATCTGGAGTAGGCAATCCCAATCAACCTTATCATAAGCTTTTTCAAGGTCTAGTTTCACTAGAAGGCCCTTCCTTCCACTCTTCCTTCTCTCTTCCATGACTTCGTTTGCAATTAGGATGCTATCTACAATCTGTCTTCCTTTCACAAAAGCAAACTGGGTTTGAGAAACCAACTCTTTTAGGACTTCTCTGAGTCGTTTTGCCAACACCTTTGCCATTATTTTGTACACACTCCCTACTAGACTTATTGGCCTGTAGTCTTTTACTTCCAAATACCATTTTTCTTTGGAATGAGGCATTTGAAAGTGGAGTTAATTCCTTTATTAACCACCCCCTTGGAGTGGAATTCTTTAAAGACCTCCAAAAGGTCCTCTTTTACTACTTCCCAGCAGATCTGGAAGAAGGAGATCGGGAACTCATCAGGCCCAGGTGCTCTATCTCCATCCATATCAAAGACTGCTTCTCTAATTTCTTGCTCTTCAAATTCCCTTTCAAGCCAAATTCTCGTCTTCTGCTAGAGCCGGCCCTTCCCAGTTTCTTAAGTTAAAGCACCTAGCCCTTTCCTTGGAGTAAAGAGATTTGAAGTGGTTTAGAAAGGTCTCAGTGATCTCCTCTACATCATCCACTTCCCTCTGGTCCACCTTAATTTTTGAGATGAGATTCTTTCTACACCTACCCAATGCATAGCTGTGGAAGAATTTTGTGTTGTTGTCTCCTTCCTTTAACCATCTGACTCTTGACCTTTGCCTCCAAAAAATTTCTTCTTTTCGGATTACCTTTTCCCGCAAACTCCTTAGAGCATCTCTCCTGCTTCTTCCTTCTCCATCCAGGTCTCCTGATTGCTCTTTTTTGTCCAACTCTTCCAGCTCCATGAGGATGCCATTTTTTTCTTCTGTAAATGATTTGAACTCTTTTCTCACCCAATACTTCAGTTTTCTTTTCAAGAATTCCAGCTTTTGCAGCAATCTGTACCTTGCCCAGCCTTCGGCTTTACATTCCTTCCACCATAAAGCTACATTTTTCAGGAAATCTTTGTGATGAGTCCACATCTTCTCCAATCTGAATGGGTGTTTTCCTTTCAAAGCCAGATCTGTTCTCAAGATTAGAGGCTAGTGGTCTGAAGTACGAGGTCTGATTTCTTGGAGGAGATTTGGAAAATTCTCTGCCTAGTCCGAGGAAACCAGAAACCTATCTAGTCTGCAGCTTATTGGATTCTCTTGAAGGTTTGACCAAGTGAACTGTAATCAACACTACTTAAACTTCCTATGTTACATGGATACAGATACAACGTGTTAAACTTGGCAAGTCCCCAAAAACAAAAAGAAGTATTAAGGGACTCAATTAACTATGGTTTTAACTCATTTTTTAATGATATACCTTTATGTGTTATAWAACTAGTGGGATAATTGTTGAAAAAAGGATAAAAAACATAGATGCATTAATCAGTGCAATCTACATAAAGCAAAAACAAAGGTTGATTATACTAAATTATCACAAATTAGCGCAAAAACTGTATCAGTGTATCCAATTGTCCAAAACTCCAAATAAAAATTCCAATTTGGTCCTATTAAAACACAATCATTAATTATCACAATGGGAATTACAAAGAGGAAGACAAACTTTCTTATCTTCCAACTTCAGCTTGAGCCCCAAGTAATGAAAAAAGAAAGAAAGAGAAAAGGAAAAAGAAAAAGAAAGAAAAAGAATTAAATTACAACTGTGCCCAAAACATTGACTCCCTGTCCACCCCTTGTTTAGCTAACCCATTAGCAAAAGAAATAGCTGATCTTTTTACCCAACTGATTTTAACTTCTATTTCTCGAACCAGCCATCTGAATTTCCTTCTCATATTGGTATATCTCCATAAACCACTATCATCTTTATTCAGCCACCCTACCACCACCTCCGAGTCCCCTTCAATTATGAGTTTTCTGAGATTCATCTCCCTAGCTTTCTGAACTCCTTCCAAGACTGCATGGATCTCAGCTCTAAGGGAGTCACCCACTCCAATTGAGCCTGAGAACATGGCAGAAACATCCCCATTCTCATCCCTAAAAACACCCCTAATCCCTAATTGTTCAAGGTTCCCTTTGCTATTTCCATCAAAGTTTAGTTTTATGAAGCCCGAAGGTGGGGGAGTCCAAGACACACTCGTTACTACTTTTAGTCTGGGTACAGCTAGCAACCTCACCCCACTTCCTCAGCATGTCATCCACTGTATAGTCTGTGGATAGCTCTAGGGATTTCATCCACTATACAACCCTTATATGGATCAGGGCCCTTAGATCTTCAGCACTTCTCTCTTCTTCAAAGAAGATCCTGGAGTTTCTTTCTTCCCATAAAGATCAGTAGACTGCTGCCCTCAGTCCTCTCCACATAGTCCTTCCCCTTTTCATACGCCACCTGACAAAAGGAGCAAAAAGACTTTGCATATTTGATGGAGGATTCCAAGTACACCCAAACAGAGAGAAAGCCCACTCCCAAATAGATTTTGCAAATTGGCAAGACACCAGTAAATGGAA